CTGGGAGTTGAAGTCCACTCATCTTAAAGTGGCCAAGTTTGGACAACACTGTTTTAAGCAGTATGCCGTGCCATTCTAGTTTTTCAAACATAAAATTGACCGTGGCATTTTTTTCAGAAAGAAGCCATGTCCTCAACATAGTGCTAGAAGCAGATTTAAAGCATTGTCAACCTCCCTCTTTTCAAGTAGCTAAAACATTTATTGTTCTTTAGCTCAATGTGACTTTCCACAGATCAGAATCTGTATAAACTCATTGGGAAAGATTGCGTCCTTTGCACACTTATCTCAGAAAAAGCCTGAAGTTGGATTTACTTCTGAATTAATACATGCATACAGAAGTCCAGTTCATCTGCTGGTCACCAGGTTGAAGTAAGCCAGTAAATTCACAAACTTTGGAACATATTCCATTGAATTCCTGGCAAATAGGCTTAAATTATAGCCAAGAAACTCCTGATCTGCAAATCTGATTTTTCTATCCATTCTTTTCCACCTTCTTTCTCCTCAATATCTTGCCTAAAGAAGTTCACCAAAGCTTATGAATGTTGGATTATGTTTTGAATCATTCTTGCTCTACCACACTTTTTTCTTTTCTACATCCATAGTCTGCCTCCAGCTTCTTCATGGATGCGATGGACTGGGCCATGAACTTCTTAAGGGATCGGCTGGCTGCCTGGATCCAGCAGCAGGGAGGCTGGGTGAGTGGTGGAGTTGAGGCTCCTTTGCCCTCTGGCAGAGATTAGAGCAATGTTTCTCAACCTTAGCAACTTTAAGTTGTGTGGACTTCAATTCTCAGAATTCCCCAGCCAGCATGCTGGCTGGAGAAATCTGGGAGTTGAAGTCCACACATCTTAAAGTTGCTGAGGTTGAGAAACACCGGAGTATTTTTCTTATAGCCATGATTTGAGAATACTTTGTTAAAAATGTAGGCTTAGGTCAGCTGTAGAACACATGTATAAAAAACCTGGTTCAGTTTCCAAAAGATCCCCTGAAATGGCATTGAACCTCAAGACCCATCAGCCCCAATTAGCATGGATAGTGCCTCACTAATGGGATTTTTTTTTTTTTTAATCCATTCAATCATGTCCA